GCAGGGCGATCAGTGACCGGCGAATCGAACAATTCTAGCCTGTTAAATTGCTTTCCAAAATGCTCAGCCCAACGCTGCAAACGTTTTGAAAAATTTTGGATAGGCTGTCCACTCTTATCACAAATTGTTTCACTAACACTAGGTCTCCTGCTGCCCGTTTCCCGTATCAGACGGAATAACTTACGATGGTTGCCAAGGGCAGCGGCCACTTCCATCTCTGACGCACGATGTGACCACCAAGATTCGCGGTCTCTCTTCAGGCTAGCACGGAGTTTTGCCCGGAGCTCTTTGCCAGGTTCATTGTGTTCACTTCCAGCCGGGATATGCCAGCGAGCGTCGATAAGTTCCAGAGACCGAGAAGAGACCCAATGTCCATGTTGGCTATTAGACATACCACATGAGGACTTGCCTGCTGCTAGTAAGGTCTGGCGAACATGTGACCAGTGACCATCAATTGTCTCCAGTGAGCGCTTACTGAACTCGCATCTCAGCGTACTTCGATACGCATTCAGAACAGCTGGCTTTGTCAGCTGGCTGGTGTCAATGCGCTCATAGCGTCGTCGTGGGTGTCCGCCAAAGCGCATACAAGTGCATGATCGGTGTCCACACATGTGCTCCAAATCGAGCGACAATTCTGGATGCAGCCTTTCCAGCGGTGACTGATGGCAATGTGATCGATTAGCGTCCAAGGCTGGTGGGCGCCAAGCCACCCTCCGGTGGGTGTTGTGTCGGAAATTAGTGCTCGCAAGAAATAAGCGAGCAGCTTCACACAAATGAAGTAACCGTTCACCGTTATCATTACGGGAGCCTACACTGTGTTGACTGCGCAGATGCAATTCATCAGTGGACAACTTTCCAACTTGTGCGTTCATATCCCCCGCCAACACAACAGTGTCCGTGCTTCTTCTGTGGTGAAGGAGCTGGGTCAGTTGGCGGTAGAAGTCGTTCTTCACCGAATCATCGCTACAGTTTGTGGACGCTTAGGCAACGATGATGCATAGACATCTATTAATCCCGCGCGACTTCGAAGTTTTAAACGAGCCAGCCAATCGGGCCGCACACATCCGGCTACTGATTGGAATCCAATCAACCAGAGCAACTTCAGTCCGGGGACTCAGGGCAATGCCAACACCAGCTTGGTCGGTGCTCGAAGCTGCATCGTCACCGGATAGGCACAATGAGAAAATACTGCTTGTGTCACCTGAAGGAGATCGCAGAGTGAGCACAGTGCTCGAGTCTTGCAGGCGAGTCTCTGATAAGCAGCAGATATCGATCGAGAGGGTCTCCAATGTTCGGGCAAGTGCTGCCTGTTGACCGATTTGTAGCAGTGTGCGTATATTGAGGCATGCCAATCTGAAGGAGGATCGAGGGCATCAAATGGAAGCCGATGAACCGGAATGGACCGCTTGATTGAACATGGGCTTGTCGACAGGAGAGGAGTGACGCTCCGCGTTCACATGTGAGTTGAAATTAGAAGGTAAATGCCTAGCAAAGCATGTTGGGGGAGGGCCAAGAATCGGGGGGTTGAAAACTGGGGGGGATATAAGTGAAGTTGGAAAGAGACGGTAAGATTGAAAATGCGTAAGAAGAGGAATAAGAAAACGGGAAGGCTTGAGCAGTAGCATCCAAACCACTATCCACCCTGCTCGATGCAGCAGATAGGGCACCGTTGATTATCCTCTGCGGTGGCCAGAGCATCAAGAAATTGTTTGAAGTAAGATTCATAGTATTGCGTGGGCAAGATACTGTCAGGTTGCCCAGGCCTAGACAGGAGAACGATTAGGATTCTCAACCAAAGCCTTTGGTTCAAAAATCTGACCGCAAGGCAGCGCGTTTGGTGTTGGGCTACAAGGAGTCCTTTTTAAGGAATAAGGAGCCACCCTTATTCCAACCTCCAACCTAGAGGGCAAGGAGGCTGAGTTTGTCCGGCCTCTAACCATTGACCAATCTGGTATGAGTGCCTCTGAAGGTGCAAAAGCACCACCCGGCATAGCTCAATGGGTCGCTGAGGCACACAAACCAGGCTGTGTCTTAGCCCATGCCCAGTTTAATATATATCTTCATGCCATGGTGTCTTGGGCGTTTGATGCGGCTTGTGCCTACGGTGTTCGCGTGAAGCACTGTATTGATGGTGGGTTGCTGAACATCCGTCGTTTCGGTGCGAGAACCCTAGTCTGCGAGAACTATCCGTGCGTTAGTGTCGACTGTGCGTTGTTTGCATACAGCGCGGATGAGTTGCAGCACATGATTAACGCTCTGGCATCGACAGCTGTCAAATTTGGGTTCACCATCAACACAAGCAAAACTGTCTGTCTCTCTCAGCGTTTATTGGAGGTGCGATCTTCAATATTGCCGCGAATCAGCATTGGTGCTGAAGTACTGGAAACCACCTACCGCTTCTGCTACCTTGGGAGTGTGATGTCGACTGATGAGCAGCTACAGTGTGAGCTCCGTATCCGCGTGTCGAAGGCAGCGGCGGCATTCGGGAAGCTAGAGTACCGAGTGTGGAACAACCGTCAGCTTACCGTAGGCACGAAGCTGATGGTGTACAAATCCATGGTGCTGTCCGTTCTTCTATACGGCAGTGAAACGTGGACGATGTACCGGCGGGATGTGCGATATCTTGAGCGGTCCATCAGCAGTGTTACCGACGAATTTTGCGCATCACTTGGGGAGACAGAGTCGCTGACACGGATGTGTTGCGACAAAGTGGAATGTATGCAGTGGACTGCATACTTTTGTTGAGACACCTGAGGTGGCTCGGTCATGTGCGGCGTATGGATTCAACGCGGATACCGAAGCCACTCTTATACGGTCAGCTGAGTATTGGGACGCGACATGTGGGGAAACCAGTTACGTTTCCGGGACATGATCAAAGTGAGCCTCTCACGTTCTAATCTTGATTGCAGGTCATGGGAATCGAAGATGGTTGATCGGCGTGAATGGCGCGATCTAATCACGAAGGCAGTTGCCGAAGTGCGGGAGAAAGACCTCATACATGCAGAGAAGAAGCGGCAAACACCGATGGGTTGTACTCCATCGAAATCAAGCGCATGGTGCTGTAGCACATGCGGTCGCGAGTGCATGAGTCAGGCAGGCCTAGTGAGCCATGAGCGAGGCCACTCGGGACCACTACCGAAGCAACGACGGGTGATGCAGAGAACGTAGGCAAAATCGACGCAGCTTTGGTAGGTACGGTACATTCGATTTACTAACCGCGTGCTTGCATGCTAAGTCTATAAAGTTCAGGTGGTGGGTTTTCAATTTTATCTTAATGCTTTTCTTTCTCAGCTGAATGTCTACCTGTATTCCATTCTATAAACTTGCACACGTCGCTTAAGCCACTTGTAGTTATTTCGATAACATTTTCGTGTTTGTAGCATTTCCTTAAAATATACTTTCTGACCTCGTGAAGTTATCTCGGATTCGTTTGTAAACAACTTATTTCATATGCTCATTAATGTAAGATTTATGTCACCGTTTTCTTATGCAGTACTCGACATATGTTATCTTTCACACAAGTGATTGGCTGTTGATTGATATCCCCGGTGTGGTTGCGCTTGATGTGCATGTTGACGAGGTGCCTACCTGTCTATTACCCACTACGTCGTCCATACTGGCCACAGGAGACAGTTGATCTTTGCTGGAGGAGGTATGCACGGTTCTTGTGGCTGTGTTAGGATCAAAGAGTGGTTCCATGCACTCAGTGTGCAGCAGACTACGGTCCAGCCACCGCCTTGTGTGCGCTTGATTCCCCAAATACAGCGTGATTGTGTTTGCCTGTGAAGGAGTGTGGGCCGGCTCCGTTGATGAAACGTGGTTCCCATCCACATGCCTCCCGGTCTTATCCCTTCCGGGTTTACACTGGATATGGGGTGTGTGGATGGAGGTGTGGGTGGTGCAGCGCAAGCCACCCATGGTCCCTCTGTAGGCGCAGGGGTACTGTGACTGGCCACAGTGACAGGCAAATCCGAACCGGATGCCGCCAACTATATACGGCTTTCACTGCTTCGTGTCATTTACTGCCATAACAGGCAGACAAGTAAGCATCAGGCACCCTGAATACGAGAGAATAGAAAACGCGCCAATGGAGTCGACTACGAGCCATATGGTGCCGTCTTGAGCCGAGCACAAGGTGGGTCGTGTGAGCTTTATCGTGCAAATCGAGACGAGCAAACAACTTCCAGTTTAGCAGTCAGTGACTTTATTTCTGGTTACCAAATCAACTTTGTTCTCCTCAAGCCTAGCGTCACTATACATCCTGCAAACAAAACAAATCACTGATTAGAGGGCCATTTTGTAGTACGCGTGATTGTATTGCGACGCGCAATCTCATGGTGAATGGTGATTAACATTGAAGTGAACCTTAGTCAATTCGATCACTAGGACCGTAGCCGAGTAAGATGATGATTGCGTGTTGTCCGTCACAAAACAAAGCACTCCTCGGAAACTGGTGACCGGACATACACAGTACGCGCGCAAGCCTAAGCAAACTATGTGCTAGAAGCAGAAGATCGAAAGGGTTTCGTAAAGCACGCAACGTGTTACTAAAAGGGAGTACACAAGCGGTATGTGGCAATAGCTGCTAGGAGAACAGGCTCTTGGTGACCTCCGGCCTACCACCAGCAGAAGCGCATGAAAAACGGCATAACACTAATAATCAGTTGCCCTTTATTAACTATGGTTGTGTTAATAGTTACAAGAGGAGCTGTAGGAAGAAGAGCAGCACTGCAGTCAGACAGCAATTCACGATGTGAAACGAATCGGCCGAATAGTAGTGTTTTCAATACTAAAGATTTGCCTGAATCCGATGGAAAAGCAATCACCTTGGGAACGCTTGGAAATAATCAGTGGATTACGTTGCAAGTAAACCAAATAAGCATGATCCAAACACCGAAGCGCAGTACATCAAAGTATTATGGCCCACGTCGCAATTTCAAACGGTGGCTGTCATGGCTGGAGGACAAGGCAGTCCTACGAAAGTTGGACTGTGGATCAGACTAGCAAAATCTGAAAAAATACAAATGTTTCATAAAAACGACATTCAGATGATAATAAGAAAACGAAACAAATCCATACTGTGACAGCCGAGTTTAAAACCTATGTTTAAAAGCATTGCATCCTCTAACTAGTAGTAAAACTATGTTAGGCTACATGCAGCTTAACAAGTTGAATATTCAACATGAAGTGATCATCGTGCTCCTAGAGGACTTCATAAGTGGACGGAAAAAAGAGCGAATAAAAGTGAGAAAGCCACCATATCCGTAGTTCTTTCGCGCAACGGTATGTAGTACACAAACTACGGGGTTAGCGAAAGCCGGGATGACTGAGTCAGACGAAAATAGGTAGATCGAAAGTCACCATGAATAGAAAAAACACTCAAGGGAATATTGGGAGGCAACAACCAAGGTGTTTTCCAGAATCGTTTGATGAAAGTACAAATTACCCCGGCGGGTCCTTCTGCCGTTTGGAGAGTTTGAGTCGCTCAGGAAGTTTTCGCTGGTTTTCTGCGAAGAGCAAACCATTGCGCTGCTTACCGTCTACAATAGAAAGTGGACTTGAGTCATGTGTGTGCATACTGGTTTCGTTGGAAGGATGGGAATCCGCAGCAGCACTGGTAATGGAACCCTTCAGCGAAGTGCTTTTGTCGCTGTTCTGTTGCTCCAGAGGTTTTTTATTTCTCGAGACAATCATGGAAGCAACTGTTTTCTTAGATTTCTGCGACTCATCGAATGTCCGCATTTGCCTAAAGGTTAGATGAGTTGTGGTCAGTGTTCAGTACTTGGAGCCTGTGCGTACTCTACGGTCCTCCAATTCAACGCGATTTAGGACTTCCAAATAAACAGACTGGAAGTCTTGAAAGCAACACATTACGTTGTCGACCTGCAGTAGGTTCTTGTACCTATCACGAAATTCTAAAGCAATGTCCGTCAAGAATTTGTCAACGTAAGTTAACTGAAGAATATGTTGATAAGCCGCCTAGCAGGATAAAAGCAGTAGTAAAGTACTTACGATGTAAAGAAGATTGAACTCGTTATCCATGTGCATTTTTATAGCACGTGAATTGTGAACAAATGGAGAGAACCCCGCATTCTCCTATCGAAATCAAAGAAAATGAAATGATGAATACCTTTAATATAAGAGATTTAAGGAATGTATTGATGGACACTCGAAAAATGTCGATTGTATCAGGAGAACACCATAACTTTACGCCTCCCTTGGTTAAGATCAGAAAAAACTCCAACATCGGAGTGCATCAAATGCCAACGTGGAAAGTCGTAGAGCGGGGAACTAGTAGTTAAGGCGTCTCAGATAGGGCCCTGGTTTTGCACCAACCAACAAATGGAAATAAAATGTCACTAATAATACAGATAATTCAAGTTCATCTGTCGGTGTTTTACGTCGTTACTCGATTGTTGGCGTGCCATTCTGATCGAGATTTTAGCTGAATTATTATGGAAAGCGGCACTTGAGTAATCACTCAAAACGAAAGTTGGCTATTGCCAAATTTGGCTATTGCCAAATTTCCTCTGTTTCAAGATCATTGGATTGTAAAGAGCAGAAAACGAATCCTTTGTCAGCTTCATCGCCTTGTCCGCAAAAGTGGACGGTCGAGCGTCCCACTTGGGTCTTCCTGGTCACTCGAAAAATAATGTCTAAATGCAAAGTATGTTTAGCTAGAACCTTGATATCTAGAAAGGTTATGTAAACAGTATTATTTTTTATTTGATTATACCCACATCAAGCGTTTGTATAAATCTACCAGAAAATCATTTGGCGGAACTTTCATCGGCATTGCTTTCGCGGGGAAGTGTTTAGTTAAGCCTCACCGACCTCGAAGAACTTAGACGGATGGATTTCGGTCTAACAGCTATCGTCTCGTGAAACATGCTTACGGCACCGTAATGAAGAAAACTTTTACATACGGTATGCACCTTTGTTCATTCGGTTAAAATATTCCGTTGTTTCCCCAATCAGGT